TTAACTTGTTTTCCATCATCAGACAGGATGAGGTAGGGATGTGCTGTATCAGGATCGAGAGTCACATCCACTGCATACTGCTGGACCCTCTTCAGCTTTGTAGGGCCGTGTACTCACCAGGGTTTGGCAGAGATTCTGCTGTTTTGTTGAGAAAAGTTGAATGTTTCTTTAGAGACAAACTGAGAGACTTGTCTCGACCGCAGCTCTGCTGACACTCAGACTAACTTTGACTTGAGGAAATGTGACGTTGCAGCTCTCCTCTGTCACTGTTGCTCCTCCTCTCAGTGCAGCTCTGAAGTCAGGTTTTATCCTCCTTGAGAAATACCTTGACACAGCTTTGGAACAAGATGAGTTTATACTTTTTGTTTCTTCCTTTTTTTTGTTTCTAGGAGCAGGAGCCCGTTGGCTGACCAGCGCTGTCCGGGTCTCTCTCCAGACCTGCCGACACCAGCACTGGCCAGAACTGAGTGGACTGCCACCTCCTTCTCCTGGTCAGGGAAAAAAGGGGGATTATATTCAAGCATGGCCATGAATGGAGTCATACCTGTGGCAGCGGGAGAGAGGGGGTTATGGGCGTACTCCACCCAGGGTAGCGATCTGGACCAAGAGGAGGGGTTAAGGATTGTGACACAGTCTCCAGGTCCTGGTTGGCCCACTCTGTCTGCCTGTTATTGCCCTGAGGATGATAGCCAGACTTAAGGCTGGCCGTGGCCCCCAGCAAGGTACAGAACGCGTACAGGTGCAGATGGAGCAGGCTACGTCAGAGCTCCTTTCCGCTGCAGAAAGACGTTTGGAGAAGAAGGCGCAGGGATGAATTTTGTGTCCTTTTGTGAGCGCTGGGTCAGCGCAGCTCCAACCCCCGAGTCTGATGAGTCCACCTCCACAAAAAGCTATAACAAGACATCAAGGTGAGACAGGATAGGAGCAGAGGAAAACAGAGGGACAAATGGAACAGCAGGTGAGGTGAGTTGTGTGAGTGGGGCAGCAACTTTACTGTAATCGCGAATAAAACGGCAACAGCAGTTGGCAAACCCCAAAAAACGCTGGAGCTGTTTCCGTGAGACGGGGTGGGCCACTCTGTCACGCCAAAGGTCTTCTTAGGGTCTTAGAATTTTACAAGACTAACGTCATCATTTAATGAGAATTCATAATATTTTCAAGTCCACCTGCCCTGTACTCTGCTGTGCATTTAGTTATTGCTCTGCTGATAGTGGGCCATCCCCTTTAGACCACTTGACCATCACAGTTTGGGACCGCATGCTGCATGTGAAACCGAAACCAACCGAAACCAACCGAAAACACTTGTGATCAGGCAGAAATCTCACACGAGCAGCTCCGATAAAGTGCAGGTCACAGTTCCAAACAAAGCAAGCTTGTACCTCAGTTTTAGATATATATATATATATATATATGTATATATTGCAGCCAGTTACGTGACCTCTCGTCACAGCTGTCTGGACTCACAGCGCTAGGGTGCACTTGATTATTATAACTGCCGGTGTCGCATCAGCTTGGCTGAGCTGATTTGCGCTGATTCAAAAAACATCTCTTGCGCTGCCCCCTGACATTTTATGCCCCACACAACTGCCTATGTCGCCTAACTAGAGCAGTCTTCAAACAAGTCTCAGAATTCCTCTCACGGAATGACCTCCTAGATTCATACCAGTCTGGTTTTAAGAGTGGCCTCTCTACTGAAACGGCTCTTCTGTCTGTAAGAGAAGGTCAGCTAAAGCTGCAGCCCAATCAGCGGATCACGGACTGTCTCTCGGGCATATCTGCATGGATGAAGGCTTTCCACCTTCAACTAAACCATAACATCTATCCACCATAACATCAAACTACAAACTGACTCCTCAACCATCACTCCAACCAGGGCGGTGAAAAACTTGATTGATGACCAGCTGTCCTTTTCAGACCATGTTGCTGCTGTCTCTAAGTCGTGCCGCTTTGCTCTATACAACACCAGAAAAATCAGGCCCTACCTTGCTCAGTACGCCACCCAGCTTCTGGTACAGGCCATGGTTATCTCTGTTAACAGGCCAGTTTCTCTTCTATCTAAGAGAAACTGGCCCGTAGTTCTCAACTTGAGTTGGGTCAAGTGAGGGCTTTTTGAGTAAGGGTGTAACCCGAGCCCTTTTGAAAGTGGTCGGGAAGGTTCCTGAAGCCAGAGAAGTATTTATCACGTGAGTGATTGATATGGTTTTCCTGTGCCGTGTTCACACAGTGGGAGCTGACCAGGTCGGGAATAGGTTGACTAGTTATAGCCGCCACTTTGCCTGTGAAGAAGGCAGCAAAGGAATCAACAGACAAGTTAATTGGTGGTGGAGGAGGAGGAGGATTTAGTAGCGCTTTGAAAGTGGAAAATAATTTCCTTGAGTCAGCGGCACTGCTTATTCTGTCATTATAGAACGCAGTTCTAGTTTTGGCAGCACTGATGCTTGTTGAGAGGGAGGATAGGAGCAGGTGGTAGCCCTTAAAGTCGGCGGGATCTTTGGTTATTTACCATTTTCTTTCAGCAGCTCTGAGATCAGTACGGAGCCCACGGATGGTATCAGTTAACCACGGGTGGGGCTGGTTCTGGCGAGCAGGCTTGGTGGATAGAGGACGCAGGCTATCCAGGCACGAGCGTAGTGTAGAGCACAGAGATTGTGCAGCATCATTGACCTCAAGTGGGGAAAATGTGTTGAGGGAGGGTAGAGCCGAACTGAACCTCTCCCCACTGCAGCTGAATGCAAACCCCGCCCACCTCCACAATGGTAATCACAGAGACCTTTACCGGAGCGGAACCACGACCTGCGGTTCTTAGGGACAGAGATATTGAAGCGAGTATGGCTCACCTGAACTCCCCTCCCTAATGGCGAGCCTGCTCGTTTAACTGGGGACATTTCGCAACTTGATGACCTGTACAGTATATAATTGATCATACATCTTCAATGTTTCTTCATTTTAAAATAGCCCTAGTAATCCTGAAACAGAAAAGGTGAACTATATCCATAACTGAAGCTAAAGAGGGTTTAGGAAGCAGATAAATGGAAGCCTGGGACTAAAAGGGTTCTTCTGTTTTGCACATTGGTTTGCCATCATTTCTGTAACGTTTCCAGATGCTTCCTTGTCTTCACTGAATGTCTTCAGTGAAAAATGCCTATAGTTCTGATTAATTTAGGAATGTTAAAGAAGCTAGTGTGATCTGATGCTACAAGACAACAACAAATAAGGCAAGAAAAATACTTCTTAATAATGTTCCATGCCATTTTCTGATTCATATGTTAAATCCAATAATTTGTCATGTTCACAGACAACTGGCAAGAGTCCTGTGGTGGTCAAACTGAACTCTGGTGTCGATTATCGATTACGGTGGAAGAAGTTCTCAGATATTATACGTGGGTAAAAGGAGTAATACCAATTAAAAATAATCTGTTATATGTACAAGTCCTGCACTGAAGTACTCAGTACTAACTTGTGAATTTCACCAAATGATTGATTATATTTTGTATTATTAATCTAAATCCACAAAGTAACTAGTAATTAAGGTATCAAATGTATGTGGAGTAGAAGTATGACGTAGAATAACATGGAGCTCAAATGTGTATTTAGTACAGTAGGCTCACTTTTCACCACTGTTAATTATAAAATCGTCCCGACCCACCCGGATGGCTACGTGCACATTGCCAGAGCAGATTGTGCAGCACATGAAAGGAGTCAGCTAAATACTTTTCATTTTTATTTTTCAGTGAGTTAACTATCGTAGGTTTTTGGTTCTGTAAATTAAAAGTTAATAACAATGTTCATAATCCATTTAAACTTAATTAGTTTTTGTTTGCTGAAGTACCCCTGAACAATTTCAAGACACAAGATAAACAAAAACTATGATGCCATATGATTGTAGTAAATCAAAGTACTCACCAGTAAATATAAAAGTAGTTAGGCAGCTCCTACATTGAAATGTTGTTATTTTATTTTTATAGATGAACACTCACTCACTGGAGACCGGGGATGGATGTAAGATTTCTGACATTTCTGTCTGTGGCTCGGAGCTCTTTTAAGCCGGTGCGTTCGAAATGTGAACCAAACTAGTTACAAGTGTCTGCAATTAAAATGAGTAACTGTTATCTCTGCAACACAGACAGGAATTACATGGTTTAGTCTTAAACACACGGAGTGAAACGTTACAATTCACCCCTTAGTCTGGGTTAGTTGTAACGTACACCAGGGTGAAATTTAACATTATGTAATAAGGAATATGAGACAAACGTGATATTGAGAGCTTTGTGTGTGTGTGGTCAGTCATAGTACTGATATTAAAAGTTAACAGAACAAATGTGCACTAACTACATATCATTGTGTGTTTGTGCTTGTTTGTCTTGCACCATCAGGCAAAGAAAACATATAAATAGTTTACAACTTTGTAGTTAAAACTAACCCAGACCAGCCATAAATTAACATTAGCTCTAACTGGCGTGAAAGATCTACATACACACAATAAACATGATTAAGGTTGATGAGTTTAACTACAAACCCAGCAATGCTAAAATATTAAGTTCACAAAAATGCTTTCTTACCTCAAAATATTTTGTCCCAGCTTAACTAGCTGTGCTGCCTCAGGGTGGAATAAAGACTAAACTGAGCAAACAGAGGGAATCAGGTGATTCCTAACTTGTTCCTGATTGGAGAAATTCTCCCCTACTGTTCTGAAGTATATTTGTACAGAAGTTAAATACATAAATGGTATTAATGAAGTAGTAGCCTACATGTAACATTTTTACAGCACTGGAGTATTTGTAATGCTGCATTTGAAATCTGTAAAAACAATAATTTGATAACTGCGACCCTCAGAAGATGCGCGCTCAACCTGGAGACGGGAAGAGGAGCAGCGCGGTTCCTCCCGATGTCCCTGAACGCCTCACGGTGAGCCCTGGGTATTTAACATTCTACCCTGGACAGCGGCAGGTTGTTGCGCAAGCGCAGCCCATTCAGTCTGCATGAATACGGAGTGAGGAGAGGACAGGAGCACTGGGAGTACTGGGACTGGACGGACACAGTGGACTGGACGGACCGGACCCATGGATGGACAGAACGGCAGCAGCAGCATCTGCTCCCGGCCGCACGGCACCGGGACGGACGGCAAGAAGAAGAAGAAGGAGAAGGAGAAGGAAATCCCCGACAGAGTGACTCTGAAGAAGGAGATCGGGCTGCTGAGCGCCTGCACCATCATCATAGGTGAGGCAGGAAAACAAGAGGGATCAGTTCTGCCTTTTACTTTATTACTGCTCAACTTTCACTTGACTTTCTCTAAAAACTGCTGCAGGACTGATCCGTTACTAACAAATGTTAGAATCAGGCTCAAACTCCATCTGGACTCCTGACTGTTTGGGAGATGATAGTTTTGTGGTCATAAGGGACATGGAGGGACTCCATGTTTGAGACTCGCATCAAACTGGCTTGTTGCGCTTACGTGGCTGAAATATGTGAAGTCCAGAAGCAGGCTGGTGGCCGAGCAGAAGAACATTGTCCGCTGGAGCAGAATGACAGCAGGGCCCTTTTTAAACACACCTAAGCACAGTAAATATGAGCCTGATCCAGGATGGAGGGGGGTGGGGGGCTCCAGGGAGCCAGGCTGCATGCAGAGGGCCGGCTGCACCTCTTTGCTCTCAGTGCAGGAGGGTGATGGAGATCTGGTTCCCCCAGACTTCAGAACAAAAACCAGAATCTTAATATCAACACCGAAGATTTATTAATCTGATTTCTGAAATTCTATCATGCCTCAGGGGACCCGAGGCTCCAGGGTCACAGTGGGGCCCTTAGCTTGTGCTAATTTAATAACCTGCAGATGTGTTTGTATCTGTATGCATCACTGAAGCACATCATTAGCTGAAATGAGAGAGGCCTTAAAACAACTACTGCTTATCTTGAGGCCCCGTGTTTTAGAGGGGCCCTGAGGTAAAAATCTGGTCTGGCATATTTTAGTGCACATTTTACTAACTGCTCTTAATCAGTTATAATAATTGCTCATGGCCAGTGCACACAGAGTGGGCTACAAGGGCCCCACATAGTGTGCTAATATCATGTGTAACTAGACTCCCAGTGGCCCCCAAAGCCCTAGATTCACTGTGTGTTAGTTAGTTTTTAGTACAGTTCGGCACTACTTTAATATCATTTAAATTAAGGCTGCTTTATCACCTGATCTTGTGGCCCCTGTGACGTGTAGGGGCCCCATGTCAAGACTACTTTTAAGACTGTAATTATTTTGAGCTAAAAAGTTTTAACCATGGAAACAGCAGTTTGCATGTTCTTACAGAGATCATGTTTGCACAGTATAAACTAAAGTAGCACAGGGTCCATTTATTAGCTGTTCTGGAGCTTTTGATCGTTTCACATGATCTTCATCAACAGATCGTCCTTGAGAGCATTTCGTCAGATGCTGTTTCCACAGTCCCAAATGAACTTTTCACCCAAGAAGTTCTTAAAGTGCTAAGGAGAGAGAAAAAAGACCATCTGCTGATGAAGATCATGTGATATGTTTAAAAGCTCCTGAACAGCTACTAAATGGACCTTGTGCTGTGATGATTTTAATTTATCTTGTGCATACAAAGCCAACATTTCTAAATTAAGTTGTGTTTAATAAATCAGTCAAATGACCACAGAGCAGCTTGCTCATGGTTCCGTGTTATTCCAGCATGAGATCTGTGGGGATCTTTTAGTATGTAGTCTATGGTGGGGATGTAGAGACCCTAAGTCCCGCCCCTTCCGGTGGAGACCACCATGTGACCTTATTTTGCCCCAAAAATATACGTTAGTCAACGGTGAGAAACTATTAATATTTGATCCCCGTTTGAATGTGCCCTGAATTACACGCGTGATGTTTGTGAATTTAAAACCTAATTTTGCAAGTCAAGAAAGTCGCAGTTTGTCGTAAAACTGTTTAAGTCTGAGATTTTTTCTGTCAGTGACTGAAGCTAATGTTACTGAAGCTGACGCCATCTTCTTCATTGGTCCTGCTTGTTTCGTTTTGCACCAGAAATGGAAACATACGAGCAACATGGTCAGATTTGGACAGATGTTCCCTTCTTTTAACACTTTCCTCCGCGTCCTGGAAGAAAGAGGTGACGAATACTGTGCGAGAGGAGAGATGAAGTTCATGAAGCGGGTTTTAAACTAAATGTTACTTTCCTTTTTTTTTTACAACAAACTGCAACTTTTCTCTTTCTATCTTTTAAATTGACAAACATTAATAAATAGGGAACAATTCAAACGATATAAAAGGTTAGAAGCTCTGTCTATGTCATGTGTTGTCTGCCGAGGTGTTGCACTCGAACTTGGAGGCGACAGGATGTAATTGATGAGGGTGGGGGGTCAGTAAGGGGACAACGTGTTTTGTGTTGACCCCCATCTTTGTTCCTCTTTCTTCTATTTGTTAAAAAAGAAGGAGGAATTTTTTTTTACCATAATATTGTTTGTTGTCCACTGAAGTCTTTGGCTTTTTCAGATTTTTTCTTGCAGCGGTGGCTGCAGATGTAGCAGTGGTAGGATTTCTTAATGGTCATAGTGATATTTATTTTAGCCAGAGACTTCTTTTCAGGACAATATTCATCTCAAAACCTCTTCTGGTTTCTTCACTAATGGTCATTTTTCTGCAGATTGTTCCACAGTAGCAAGCAGAGCCTTTGGCAGAACGCTGCAGGACGATCAGAGCTCTATCGTATCGATCTGTCAGTGCAGTAATTTGGTTATGAAATAATAGGATTTGCTGCAGAAGCAGTTTTTTCATGAAATGTGAGGCTGAGATGTAGACTCCTGTTTTTCATTGCCTTTACCAGTTTCCTCCCGTGGTCACAATTCTCCTGTTTTTATCCCAAATTCTTTCCTTTTTAAGTATCACAACCTGTTTTTGGCCCTTTACAGCAGGAAGCCTGTAAGAAGAGCCGCTCGCACCTCGGCCTGCTCACAGAGGGAGAGAGAAATAGAAAGTAATAAGAGAAAGAAATATTCAAGCGAATTTCAGACGTCCTGGAAAGAAGTTTATGCCAGTGGGGCAAATTTATTATAACAGATATTATATCGCTGTCTTGAGGTCTCAACGTTGGCAAGCATGGATGGAGCCCTGAACAGCGCAGAACATGGCTGAAGTATAACAGGACTTTGAATTTATTATTTACCATCACCATCTTTTCAGTTGTTTGTAGACAGAAATTCAAACTTGCGATACCACAAGGTGATAGAGTCCGTCTCTCTATGCTGTTTGACTTCCTGTCTGTGGCTCCCAGCGCCAGAGCCCATTGGTTCCTACTGTAGACGTAAATCTTTAAAAACACATTCACAAACATACCGTCGTGTTCAAAAAGGCTCAGTAACTTCCTAACAGCTGATTGCTGTAGTTTTTCCTCAAACGGGAGGAAGTAGTGCATTTTCAGGGACTATTTTCAGCAGCGGATGAATCCACATGTGGCGCAGGACGGTGGAAAAAACAGTGTGTGTTTGATGAGAGCTGACAGCGTGGAGCTGAGCCTGATAAGTTAAATGTTAGATGTCTTAAAATGGTCTCTGAACGGATAAACCGATATGGATATATTAAGAATAACTGCGGACCAGGTTCCAAGACGGCTCCCCATTCGTTCCTTTGAAAGTTTTTCACCCGGTTTTAGTTGGTGCCGCCCTAAAGACAAAGCTTAAATTGTGTTTTCTCTGCCAGTGGTAGGGATGTAGAGATTTAAAGTTTCTGGTGTGTGATCATGAGCATTTCAGCCGGAAAGGACCTCTAGTCTGACTCTTTGCACTGACTATTTACTAATTGCAGGGTCCACATGTCTAAGTGTCCTTAGCCCCAAAACGCTCCCGTGGTAAGACCAGGACCTCACATGATAGTTTGCTGTGTGAGTGTCTGAGTAAAGGGCAAACTGGGAAGTGCTTTGTCTATGAGCTCTATATAAATTCAGTAAATTTACTATTTGCAGACTTTTAGTCTTGTTAGACTTTTAGTTCTGTAGCGGAGCAGATGGCTTCAGGATCCTGTTGAAGGTGAGATAAATTATAAAAATTTATATTGATAAACATTATCTGTCTATTTCATACCGAGCCTGTTAACCGAGCAGGAGGTGTAATTTCATCTTTGTTAGCATTTTCCATGTAAAATTTCAACCAGTCTTTTTAAATCTGTCATATTGAATCATGTATCATTTGAACTGCTTGTTTTCTGGAGCACAAAGTTTGCTAGTTCATATTATGTCTATAAAGAGTGTGTTCACGAGACAAACAGTAATCTTTATCTTTAAGTGTGTTTCAGTTGCATTAACTAATCTTTAACAGCCGTTTTCTCAAATGACATGTTTCCTGTACGCCAAGTCATTTTCCTCGCCTTCGAAGGCGGTTAGATCATCACGACTCAGAACTGAAGAAGTCCTTTGGATGAGGGACGAAACGTCGTCCACATCTTCAACCAAGTCCAGTTGCCCTTGACTTTAACACTGTTTCTTAGGTCTCATACCAAGACATTTACTGAGAGTTTTTTAAAA